AAAAGAAATGCCCGGAAACTGACAGCGGTAGCTGCAAACCGCCCTCCCCCCAAAGTTGAACAGACGCCCGTTCTGATTTATTCTGCTATTTTTTCAGTACGGGTATGTCTTCGTTCGGCGAAATCTCCTATGGATCCCTGGCGGTAAGTGCCAGTCAAATCACTTTATAATCACAGCTCCAATGCTGTCGAAAAATCTTGATCATAGTCATCAGTGCTCCCGTCAAAGCAACATGTTTTTGGTGGCGACTACTAACAGTGACAAAAACACATGATATAGGAATGGGGGGGATGATAACAGGTAAAGAGGAGAGACCCTTTTTGTATCTTAATCCGGGGTGACAAGAAAATGGCCACATCATCCTCTGGTTTTTGAACATTATTTGTTGAGCACCCACGTTGACTTACTATAAAAGTGGGCTGAAATTATCAGATTAACATACTCTGAGGACTTTACTAACGCAGTTGAGGCAGAAAGGAAGGCTAAGCGATGGGCGTGGGCGACGCCCGTCATATCATCGTCAGGACTGATTTTTTTTGGGCATATTCCGTCCGAAGCATCTGCAAAAGTCAATTTAGTTAAAATGGCCTAAAACCCCAGCCACCCTCCCCCCCGATAACCACCACTTGCACCCGCAGTTCCGCGTTACTGTGGCTCATGATATTACTCTTTTGGCAATTCGGCTTGGGGGGAGGTAGGGTATTTTGCCTTTACGCTATTTCTCTTCATCGTGTCGAGCCATCCCAAATGGAAACCTGTGAAATTTTGTGAAGCCATAGTGATACCAGTTGAAGTTTGTGGAGACCACTTGTCATCCACTCGTAAAGAACACCTGTCAACACCTGCAAAGCAGTGAACAAGACAACGGAAAGCAGCGAAAATGCAAATGCCCCTCCCAAGCCGAACTGGGCCTTGACCTTTCTTGACTAACTATCTGTAGCACGTCCCCAGTAGCTCTAATACGATAACACCTTTCACTGAAATATTCAACGTCCATCTGATTAAACGCATAAATTCAACGAAATAATAAATGAATCCAATAATATACGCAATAAATCCAATAAAGCAATCAGCTCAAGTCTGTTATGTGGTTGCTGCTTGGCAGACTATTCATCACACAACAACAAGTAGAAAAAACAACTGTTTTGTTGGATGCTTTTCTCATGGTCTGCACCTCAAGTCTTGTCAGTGTAGTACTACCTTACAGTAGATCCTCGTCTATCAAACCGAATAATTGGCCGTTTTGTGGTGTTTGTCATTAAATTTTCCTGTTTTATCCATCGTGTCTCACCCTGCAAGTCCTGCTAATTCTCGTCTAGTGCTCTGCAAGCTCCTGTCAGAGTTGGCGAATGGTCCTAGCCACAGGAACGGGCCCATTTTACCTTACAAAAAATCTTACCGGTTTAGAATATTTTTGCAATTTGGCAAAGAGCTACATGCGTGCTTGACAGGGTAATAACAAGGCTCCACGGAGTGCTGGCAGTGTCGGTTTTAACTTGTTCACTATTCACAGGATCCGGTATGCTGACCCCCCATCGCCACTGGGCCGTATCGCTTCCTTTCGTTCCTGCACCGACACTGTGATGACCATTTTCTCAGTGGATGTATGCAATACGTTCCGTAATCGCTTCCGCCGTGTCAACTCCATTAAATCATTCCTCGCTCTTATGAGAAAGCATAGGCAGACCCATTATTTTGTCGGATACTCGTCTAGGATCGCACATCAATATAACCAGCCTTTCTATAGCATCCTTTTCGAATTGCCCGTTGGCTTCCAGGACCATTCGAAGAAAACATCAACTTCATTCATTCTGTGCCGAATTTCTCGGGAGACGGCCAAGACAATCGTAATTTGCGGCTCCGTCGCGCGCGGTGATGAGCGCGTCGTTTGCATAAAAAGCGTGGCCTGTCGCTTGAAGCAAGGGATTCCAAGTAGACTCCAATATGGTAGATAATTATTGCTATTCGCAATGATACATTGCTATTGTATCTCTTGGCCCTATAAAGGTCGTTATTAGCAGCGGCGACGTCGCACGCGACGCTCATCAGCGCGGCCAACACGACGATTTGTCTCGTCATAGGCCCGAGTCTATCCATGACTGGCATGCCATGGAGATACCCCATCCTTTTTGACTCCGCTTTCGTGACATCATGCAGGGAATACGTTCGTTGAAGATATTTTCGGTTATCTAGCACCTTCGTCTAGGTAGCATGGCTTTTCTACTATTCAAAACGACTGCGTCCTCTCGTCTCACAGGCCGACATGGCGCGATCTGAACCGCCTTCTGTTGTTTGCTGTCTGTCCCGCATAGTCTGATTGGGCAATAAGAGAGACTAAAGTTCCTTGTTCGATCAAAAAACTTCAGTGGCTCCTTCCTCCCCTTACCGGCACTCTCCGAATAACACGAGTTGTCGTTCACGTTAGGTCGTCAGCGCGACTTAATTACTACCCGTCGCCTTATCTCTGATTTTCCGTGACAGTTTTGCCATCGCTAGACAAACATTAACGCAACATTTTGACCTTGCTGATAAATAGGTGAATCAATAAGAGACGCTTTACGGAGGGCTCAGGGGCGCTGGTCCACAGCTATGGGCCGCGAAATTTTTCACTCATTGGCCGCACACCCCTCCCCCTTAAATGGCCAATTATAGCAATTATTGCTAGTCTTCAATCTTATTGGCGCCCACTTTCTTCATGCCTTTATATAGCTCTCATAATGAGCAAGTCAAGCTCAACGCGCATAACCCGTTTGCTGGGAAAGTTTTCATGGTGTATCTCCATTAACAATTACCAATGGTATTACTCTTTGCTATCATTTATAATCGTAATTTGGCGCTCTTCACCTTAAGGGGGGGGGGTGGCATTTTATTGTTCATTGGTCTCTTGTGTTAGTGTCTGTTAACTTACCTGTAAAGTCCTGCGAAGTGGCAGTGAAGCTCATAATATCGCATAGCTTCAAAGGACAGGACTTGGCAATGATCGATGGTTCAAATGTTGCTGGTGCAAAGCACCAAAATGCTTAATCTAATTTCAGTGGAGTCCGATAATTATGGAATTCAACTATCCAACGCGCAGAATCTTTTATTTGTGCAAGGTGGCGCGATTCCTGGTCCATTGCTTTTCGGCACGAAGATACTTGGCAAGGAGGCAACAGGACTACCACCTCTGTCGGGCTCCGCCCCGGTTGTCAGTCTTCACCTCTACCATTTCCTTTCGCTATCGTGTTTTGCAGTGGGTTCGCTCGTCTGAGCACTCTCTCGCCATTTCGTCGTCTGTTTCTTTTTTCTACGCTCAGTGTATCTTTCTCGCATGCCCACACAAGGCTTGAAACCAATGTAGGGGGTCTTATTTAGAGTGTTCGGTAGTTTCATAGTTGTTTTCTCCAGCTGAGTTACGTAGCACATTCATTGATACCATCTATCCACGATTTCTAATCGCGGAGCGTACCTTTGACCGAGGAAGAAACGGAGCAGAGGCAAGAGGCGCCACCTGGTATATGGATGATTTGCCTGATCGGATCGCTTACAGATCAGTTGTGTCCTTTACCCAGCAGGGCTAGACGGGTAGAGTAGAACAATTCATTTCCACATGAAATGGCCCCTATAATTTGTGAAGAGCGTACGGACTCACGAATATCCAACTAATTCTTTGTGGAAGTAGGCTGTACGACTGTCAGGCCCAGTTGTCTTTGCTTTGAACTTTTAGTGCTAATTATACTGGTCCTATTCGTATTAAATGGATTTCGGTGTTTATTGTTGTCTCGTTATTGCCTCCGTTCAGACAGCTGTCAGCTGCCAATCGCGGGTTTACTAATTGACGGTTCACGTCGCCCGGAGGTCCACTATGGGCCTTCGCCTCTCGCTCTCACATTTCACTGCCTTGTGCCTGATCTTAAAAATTCGTTTTCAGTGAATTTCACAACAACAGCGCAGCTTTTGTGTGCTCCGCCTCTTTTGAACAGCTCCGCCCATTGTTGGACAGGTTTTTGCACGTCCTTGAGTGAACGATGCATTACGTCCGATTTACCGATCAAGATGTTGAGGCTGTGATTAAGGTATAGCGACTGTCAGCAATTATTTTTTTAGATAACATCGTTTTGGCGGCATTAAATTTATGTGTTATAGTCTGTGTTCTTTTTTATTTATAATTATTATTGTATATTTTCAGTTTTTATCAATAATTATTATAATGCGTTAATATATTTCAACTAAATTTGCTGCTTTTTCTCGTCTTTCCTAACTTGCTACCAATTCCTTTACCTAAAGGGTCAGGAAGGTAATTTAGGAAATTCAAGTGAATTGTTGAGAAACTATAATAATTAGTAGTATCAGTGGTCAATAATTAAACTGTGAAGTATCTACTGAGACACTCTCACGGCTTCGTAGGGGGAGGGGGGGGAGGAAAGCACAGCTTTAGAGGGATCAAATCGTATTGAGGAGACGGCGGTGGGCGGACCTGTAGAGATGCGGGTGGATATTCGTTATGTTTCGTCTTTGGTGTACCCCTCCTTCTCATACAGGGAATGGTGCGTCGATACAGAAGCACAGCGGTCGGTAAAATATGGCCGTCATGGTGTCGAGGAATGTGTCTTTAGGTCTATCAAGCTCTACCGCAATTGACGTGATAGCATTAGCAAATTCTCCTGGGAGAATGGAAAAGCTATTTAGTCGAATATCGGCTGATCTTTCAGACAGGGGGAGCTAACTGAGGAATCAGATAGAGGAGGCAGGTTTTGAACTTGTATGTCAGAAGAAGGTAATTCGTTATAGAAATTCCCCTTAACTCCTCATCTTCCGTCCGAGTTCTCTTTTCTCCATCTTGTCCTCATATTCAAGGACGTAACGTTGTCAAATTGGCGTTCATGTTGAAAGGGATGTACTGAAGAACGTTGAGGGGCAGGACTGTCGTATATGAACGATTTAAAAAATTCCCCATGAATGATATGCCCTTCCAGAAATCATTGTGTGACAAGCAAACAATATCATCGCGTTAACCATTGATGGAAAGACGAAGGCCATGGCTGTATGCTAGGCGACGATTGATTGGGGCCAAGCCACTTTCATTACTGGTCAGCCATCAATTCCAGGACGAGCGCTAATTAATCGAAACAGGTGGTATTCCGCAAACTTTATTACATTTAGTTCACACAGTGGTGGCCTTTAGCGCTTTGCCACCTGCATCAATTCGAAATCTCGCTTTTACAAAAAAAAAATAAATGCCTCCTTCCATCATATGTTAGAGTTTTGCCAAAAGGGCGTCGCGTAGTTGAGGACTCGACGCTTGGGAGGAGCATTCTATAGTTTCGCTCTCTTACTATCTATTAGTTTGTGTTAATTTACCACGCCACTCCTTGCTTCTGTAGATTTTTTGTTATAGGGCATAAGCTCGAGGTTAGTGCTATTCGTAAAGGTTTAACATGGAGTTCCAGGTGTGCCTATAGGAGACCATCGACAGTGATCGATGAAAAAACCCATTTAAAATGCATCCCTTCAAGCGAAAATTGCGCCGAAGGTCCCTCACGAGAGTCCTATTATAGTCTTATATAGAAGAGCGGTCTATTATGGTTGTTGCGACCCACTCCTCCCCTTCACGGAACAGGGTGGGAGTGCGTTTTCATGTAAATCTCAGGTGGAAAATGATAGATTGATGGAACAGTTGCATGTGGGGCTTTTAGATTGAGGAGGAGGGGGCGCACTTAAGGCAGGAGTGTAGGGGTGGACCTCGCGCTGGACGGTCCGTTTCATCTTTTAGCCTAGAGACGGCAATGCCGTTCTTCTCCGCCCAACACTGGTGAACAAACTTGAGCTAGGGAGAGCCTGGGAAGAAGCGACCACTTTATTCGCATGGGTCCCACAGTCTGCTATAGAGACCGTCACGGGGTTAACAAGGAGGCCATTTTGTCCCCTTTTTTTCTGTTCAGCGATTTTTTAGAACACATGACGTAATACACACCCCTGTCGCACGACAAAGAAAAGTTGTTGATTTTTCATAGACGCTAATGTTGGATACTGTGATTAATCGTTCCCAAGTGATGTCATTTTCCAACCCTTTTTTCAGTTCCTCGTTAATGACCCGTACGCTTTGCAATCTGTGGAGAGGCATCTTGCGCTCAGCAAAGACGAAGCATTAGCGTTTGTCAAAGGTGAGCGCATTTTTCAATGGCCCCTAGTCGAGTAGTTGGGATGTCGCGCCGCGACCGCACGTGGACCATGTCTGCGGAGTCGCGCAGCCTTACAGTGCGAGTTGTGGGGCCTAGTAGGCAGCTGTTATGCAGTTAGTCTGAAAATAAACTTACTAGGGTTGTTTCCCGAGGCGATTGCTAGTGGAGTGTCGTACGTGGCAAAGAACGATGCTCATGATGTTGTCGCCGTGAGACTCAGCACATTCCGGACAAGAGAAGAGGCCGCTGAAGAAGCTCAGGTCAGTTGACCAAAAATTGAAGTTCGGGTGCCTTATGGGGCCATATTCAAGATAACCAGAGGTGGTCAAGTGACTAGAAGCGCTTCCTTAGATGGTCAGTGGAACAAAACCGAAGCGAAGCCTTTTTCCTCGGTGATTATGATATGATAAAAATATTGATCCGAGTATGGAAGCCCTAGGCTCCATCCAAGGCCGCTCTGATTCTTTGTGGAACACAGATGCATGGCTTATCCTGGGAGCTGTGATTCGTACTGAGCATCTCTAGTCACGAACATAGCATTTTGAAATCATTTTCAGACTTGAATTTCAGGGACTACCTTATGAGGAATCTTCCACAACGCTCGCTCGGACGCTAGCAATGCTGCGCACTTTGCATCAACAGGTCAGCAATTTTTCTCCAACGTTTTGCTGTCAAAGGCACAGTCCACACTGACCACATGGGCGGAGAAGGTCGATCATTGTCTCCCCCACTGAAGAACTCTTTTAAGTATGATGAAGAGGGGCGCCAGTGAAGAGGCGCAATGACTTTCTGTCTCCACCCACAACTTCGCCACAGCGATCAGCGTGGACGGCACTTCCAAGCGAGTTAGTTGTGGTCGCTGGTGACGAAATGTACATCGCGTAGAGAAATCTCCTTTCATCACAAAAAGAAAAAATTAAAAGGACCGCGGCTTATGGAGTTTAGGGGTGGAATTAGAGGTCGGATATCCGAGTTACGGCGACAGATATGCGCATGGCATTTCCTAGCTAGTTGACCCATTTAACCGTAGAAATCGCTTAGTTCGAATTTTGGGCTCACACGCATATACGATGGCGGTTGCAACCAGGACATACCACCACGTTGCAGATATTTTCTGCAAAATCCATTTCACGCTAGTCGCATGGGCGGAGTTAGTCGTTAGTTAGTTCTGGCTTTCTCACTGGGTGTGCCTCGTTGATGAAGGAGGTGAAGAGAAGGGCTGCAGCAATGAGGAAGGCACAATAGCGGGCTGCGCTCCATTTCCGCCATGATAATTGGCCGTTTGCGATGTTGCCTTATGCCGATCTTCGCTTTTAATTTAAATCGTCGTATTCGCTCTATTTTTTAGTTCTGGGCTTCTATCGATCCTGAAATCAACAGAGTCTACTTTTTAATGGCGATTTTGGTAGCAGATAAATATCGAGGAACCGATCTCATTGACAATTTGATGCATCACAACATGGATGAAGTGAGTTTAGCACATTTTCCGGGACAAGCGGAATTCCACTACCCCGGTAATCACTAGGCTTAGCTACGTGGGGGCCCAGGAGCGATCTGGAAATCAGACTTGCTCCGCCACATAGCCTTAGTCTGACCCCTGCCTTCAAGTCGGATCGTCATATGTGTGTCTGTAATCAGGCTGGTGAATGATGATACCTAATCTCATATAAGTGCAACAGCAGATGATCTCAGATTCGATTTATGGAAGTTCAAGGGCTAGCAGCCGATGCGGCCATCTTCCATTCACAAAAGGTGAGGCAAAAGGTAAGGTAGTTTAGTGGTAGAGATCTATCCTAGTTAACATCTTGGTCTTGCTCTTCCATTAGTCGTTTTCCAAGAAAATGGCAGACGAGCAGCTTAATAGACCGGCCATTCTCCAACCTAGAAAATCTACCTGCCCTGGTGAACCCAAGCACTTGGGCAGATCGAGGGTAAAAAGGTGGAGGGGTCCGTATAAACTGGCACTTCATTTTTGAAAGCACAGACCTCCACGCGTTCGTTGTCGGCGATGCGTCAAGCCTATTATGTGGCTTCTCACTAGCACGACACGTCTTGATTCGCGCCCATATAAGTCAGCGTGGGCTATTGCCTTCTCAATGGGTCTGGGACCTACGCATGCAAGGAGTCACAACTGAAATAAGTCCTTCTCATAGCAAATTCTACCCCCCTCACGAATTCCTTTTCGCGTTGCTTATACCGTTGTACAAACGGAGAAGGCACCTGGAAACGGTTCGGGATAGGAGCGCAGCCAAGCTCCCCCTTTTCATCACATGGTCGGCGGCCAGCAGTGTGCATCAGTGGAAAGAACTGGCTGCTTTGAATCTACGCCCCCCCCCCCATCACTCGCCATTTTCAACAGGCAGGATTGTGACTCCCCCACAGAGCGTTGGTCACGTGAAATCGAGTTCAGCGGCGGAGTTAGTTCATGAATGGACCATGTAGGTTGGGTCGTGCGATGTGGCAAGGGAGATAGACCGGGATCGCCGTACTCACTCCGAGCGATGCCTCACACTGACTTATACTGGCCAGTCGATGTACAGGTCAGTGGTCCTATTCTCCCAAACGAATGCTGTACCATAGCACCTGTCTGTCTTGGTCAGCCTGAACGGAAGTTGACCCACGATTTGACCCTTGGCCATGTGTCACCTGCTCCTCCGCCTCATACTCCTCTGCATAAATGTCGTTCGTGTTGTTGTTGTTGTGGTGAGGCATCGATCTCAACGAAATAAATAAAATTTTCAGCTACTAGACGACTTCGGTTACCGTATAGTAGCTGAAGTGGATCGTTCAACATTTTTCAATGATGGCGGCACGGAATATGAGGTAGGTGTTTACCAAAATTATCGAAATCACTGGATTTTATCATATGTGTACTCCATATCCCAGAGTTGGAGTAGGCGTGTCTGAATCTTAGGTGGAGTTCGATGCACTTTTCATGAGATATATTTTTTCATGCAAAACAACTATCCCTTCGTCCTGTGGACAAAAGTTTGGTTGCCTCATAACTGCAGTATTCCACCAAAAGCGCAGCCGCCGACCCTTTCAAGTGTAAGCTGCGCAACCCGACGCCCATTCCAACCTGACAAGTGCTGATAAGAGTCTCAAGGATGGTCCCAGTCGTGACAACAGCTTCAATCCATAGCCATTACACCAGGTGAGTTTCCACCTAGACAAGTTACCATTCCATCTCTGGAAGTACCAACCTGGATAAAGGGCCTCGTTTCGGAAAGGCTCGTTTCGGAAGATGCTCACTTGAAGGCGACATATGAAACGAGCCACCTGGATAGTCCTGCCTAGACTAGGGTAGCGAATGTTCTAGAGATTATCACAAGAATGCCAAGTTGCAGGCAAAATTTGGCGCCCGGGCAGGACCTGAGCCCGCATCTCGTGCTTACTGGGCGAGTGCGCGATACGTTACGCCATCAAGACCGCCTCTTACCCTCCCAGCCTGATAGCTTTCGGCATAGTCCTATAGCTCACTTTCGCAGCGCGAAGTGCAGCATTACACAACACTTGTGAAGCAAATAGGAACTCAAATGCGTCCACAAACCTGAACGATTGTTGAATAGATGGCGCGACCTCAACGGATTGATAAAATGAGCTGCATTGCCTTTTACCTCTTCAAATGCCTTGGAAGAATGCTGATAGCACAAGGATGGAGAGTGCCGCTTGCCGCGTTCTGGGTCCGCACGTGGGTAGGAAATTTTGGATGAGTTCGTGCCTGGGTTCAGAAATCATTTCGTTTCTCCGGTGTTGGCTAACTGGTGCCCCATTCGTACGGGATCACAATCGCTGACTTGCACCTCGGTTGTACCACGTTTCCCAGATATTGTACGAGACAAATCTCCACCAAACACTGGATGGAAAGAAGATGCATGGCGCCCTGAAGAGAGGATTGATCAGTGCTGGGAACCTTATCCTTTTGACAGTAGGACGCTGAATCATGCTAAAAGCGCTGAAGTATAGTCAGGGTTGGAAAGGATTCAAACTTGCCTTAGTCTCTCTGAGCTCAGCGCTACTCCCCATTACCCGCTATAACTGTTCCTGGGTCAAAAAAGAACCAAATGGTATAGAATACTGGAATGAAAGAAATAAAAAAAGTATTTTTATGTGTGGCTTTTCAGGAGGAACATGGACACGACAAGGCACGACTCGTCTTCAAAGAACCATGGCGGGATGAAACTGTTGGTGCTCATATCGCCTATTAGTCTGTTATTGAAAAGATCTGGTCCCATTTGGTACATCCATTAGGGGCCTCAAGAACATTTATAGTTCCACGCCCCCCCCCTCGCCATCCTGAAATCAGTCTAAATGGGAGGATGCTTTTTGAAAATGTTCCTATCTCACTTCAATAGAACAGAGCGCTGTCGTTTACCCCAGCCAAGACTCGGCTTATGCTTCGACTTCAATTTATGAAGGGTGAAGTTCACATTGTGGTTCGGAGCCGGGTAGCCAGTTAGAGGCGATCCACCGGATAACTCCACCCACAATCATAGCGCAAACTTTACCTTGAGGCTATTTTGCTTTCGCTGTCTCATTCTCACTCTATCCCGGAGGATTCTCATGTGAATGTGGATAACTGAAAAAAATGTGTTTTCCCGAGGTCATCAAAATCGTTAAAAACTTGATGAAAGCTCTGTGGAACAAACAATAGTGTGAGCACTCCGATGGGAGATAGACGGTAAGGGAGAAGGCCCACCATCAGGGCACAGCATGGTTGTGCGAAACCTATGGGGGGCTCGTATTGGCCGCAAAGATCTCCTGGGAGAGCTTAGTGGGGGGGATCTTGTGTCAGCGACAGATCTCTGAAACACGAAACGCTTATGAAAGCGAGGTCAAGGTAGAAGGCGGCGGTTTTCATGCAGGACCAATATAGAGAGCACGACTTGTGACTTGAAACTTAACGATGTCGGAGTGGAGAATGAGAATAGCTAAGCAACGCAGATGGTGCAACGCCATCATGTAAAAAACCACAACAGACTTGGAGTAAAAAATTAAATTACAGCAATGATTAAATGAAAAGTATTCACAAACCAATGCCGGTCAGAGAGTTAAAGTCTATAACGAGTGCCGGTCAAGGTTTACTGTAACCTTCATTATTCCTCAACGCTCAAGAGACACTCTTCATATCATTATAAATAACTTTTGCCGAGGAATGGCTATACATGCTAGCAACTTATAATTCCTAGCAGCAGTGTCACTGCGAAACTCTCCGCACCTGCCTCAAGCAATTGATACTGATACTAAAGCCTCCTAAACCGAGTGAGCACCCTGCAGGACGTAGACTTCCCATCATATCTGAAGATGCATGACCCGACGCACCCGAACTCGCTCACGGACATCATCTCCTAGTGTGACATTTGTTGGTCTTGAAGAGCTCAGCTTAGAAGAGCGTTGGTTCTACCTCGGCCAATATAACGATTAGGTTGAGCCAGGTAGAGATTCCAGTATACTCAGAGTGAGCACGAAAATTGATATCTGGGTAAGAAACATTTAACTGCGCCTCGCCGGTGCCAATATCGGGGTTGGTAGCTCTCTATTGCAAGTCACTGATTTGCATTAAGTTCGGCCTCGAACTTTTTTGGACAAGAGGGGCTGCACTTTTATCATTTAATCTTTTGAACTGATTGTGTGTAGCGTTTGTCATGACTCGCTTGATATTGGTTTTCCCCGTCGCGGTTCAACTGTGTGATTGGACTTTATTATCTGGACTTTTCGCCCGAGCAACTCCTCGTAGCTGCTTTCATCGGATCGACGTAAAGACGCACTCACTGTACTGTCACATATACTGAGCCACCGACGTTTAACACGCACTGACCTTCGGGCTAATTTTTCACAGTCCCTAGTTCAGCTCACTTTAAATTGTCACAGGTATACCCAAACCTCACTTCGTCATTCAAACTGTAGGCTGCGGCTCTGAAGCTTTAGCGTCGTGGAAGGTTGTCTAATAATCGTAGACATCGTCCTTATGCAGCTCCATTATTTTGGCATCAACAGCTGTCATTCTGGCGCCAGGGCGGTAGAAGAAAGAGTTTGCGCTTGGAGGGGTCAGTGCCAGAGGTAGCGGATAACATGCTTGTTCATATTGCACAATAAGGAGAAGCAGGAGTCAAGCCAGTGATACCAATAGAAAGACCATTCTTTGATGTATAAGTGCTCACATTACCGGTTAACGCTCTTCAGGTAATTTTCATTCTATACTCGCAGTACTTGTGGTCGGTTTGTATGTTTTGTATGTTATGTAGTTTTTGTAGGTAATGTATGTATGTTTTCTGTCCCGTCCGCAAATACTTCCGCGTTCGAGTTCGCTGGGGCGAAAATACGACCGCTAGACAAACGCGGTCCGATACAGCGGGAGGATGTAGCAGTCCAATGATTTGATTTGTGAATAAAAGCTCCGCTATATAAGATCAAGCTTATAAGACATATATAAGACCATTCGTACAACATCCGAGCATTGCACAGCTGCTGGCGTGGCAGCTGGACGTGTGCTCGTGCGGGGGCAGGGTGGGGGTACCGGGTCGCCCTGCCTCCCTCTCCTGCACGTGCTCAGCCGGAGCTGAGCAAGTGTATGGGAGGGAGGCAGAGGGGAGGGTCGCGGGGAGGGGGAACAGTGAGGGGTGCGTAGCGCGCGTTTCAGTAGAACGCGCACCAAGGGATGAGGAAACAACCGCTAACAAAACTGCAAGCCAATTATGTTACCGTAACGAACTAAGAAGTTGTTTTGGTTGTGATAACACTCTCCACTATATAAGAAAACTACACTCCGAGCCATTGCACGGGTTGCTCGCGTGGCAGCTGGACGTAAGCGCGTGCAAGGGGCAAGGTGGGGGGGGGTGGAGTGGCGAGTACGGAATGGGGTGAGGTGAGGAAGGTGGGAGTTAGTATCGAGTGACCCCTTCTCCTATCCTCAACTCTCTTTGGCGCGAAAGTCAGTCGGATGAAGCCTTCGAAGGGGAAAGGATTGAATCGGGCAAACTGGGTACAGTAAGGGGGTGCGTAGCGTACGCTTAAATAGGAGCAGGCGGCAAGAGAAGGAAAGAACCGCTAGCAAAACTGCAAGCTATCTATCCATGTTACAGCAACGAACTAAGTTGTTTGGATTGTGAATCGCTCCCGCTATCTAAGCCAACCACTGTGATATACTCTGTGCTACTGCAGGAGCTGCTCGCTTGGGAGCTGGACGTGAGCACGAGCAAGGCGGTGGTAAGAAGTGGCGTAGTGTCCCTATGTTGCATGGCGGCTGCATACCACGTGCGGAGTACCACGTGCGGGAGTGGGTGCCGGTTGAATAGGGTCAGTGGGATATGATGTGGTGAGGGGGATACCAGATGAGAACGGCGATTTCGCGATTAGGAGCACATAGCCCCTAAGGCGTCTACGGTTGCGACAAGATGAGAAGAAAATGGATCGACCGCAATCGGAACTGAACCGATTAATGCATTATCAAATTGTGCTAGCGTTCTGATAGTCATAACACCCTCCACAACATAACACAACCATTTAGTGCACTCAGAACCATTGCACGGGCTATTCGCGTAGCAGCTGAGCGTGACCTGTAGGGTGGCTGAGCGGGGAATAGCTGAGGTTAGTTTGGGGATAGGTGAGGTGAAGGGGTACCATATTGGCGCGACCGACGCTCGCCTGAACAGGAGCACGCAGCGACTGCGGAGACCGAAGAATCCGTGGCTGTCATAAGATGGGGGAGGACAGTAATCGATTATCCATGACCAGATTTTAAACTTTCATTATAAAAGTGCCCTGTGACTATATGGGGCGTTCTACATTTATTTGATTAGACACCGTTAGTCACCATGAGAGCATCATAAATGCCTAAGACAGTAGTATCGCCCTGCTTATGCCTTACTTTGCTCCTTTCTTTCACGAGTTAAGAAGTGAGGCTCTAAAGCAGTTGCATGAGCCCGGCGAAGCCGGGCTTCCAAGAAGGAGGAGAGCTCGCGTTAGCCGGG